AACAATCTATAACTTCTACGTCACATCCACATCACTAAATAATTTTTTCAAGTTTTCCCGTCATACTCTTAAAAAAATCATCTAAAAAAAGGCAATTAAATGCATCATCTTTACATTAAGGTCGGCCATTAAAATTTCACTTTTTAATTTACAATTCCAAATTACACCTGAAAATGAGATTGAGGCTTTAAGGTATATAACCCATGTCATATATCTTATGGAAAAAAACGTCCTTATGTCACAGAACATAAAAACCACTTTAGCATGCCACAAGGATTTTTCAGGATCTAATTTTAACGAGGAAAACACGGCTTCTGCCTTATTGTAATTATTAAAGTTTTTAGCTAAGCTGATTTCAAATTCATTTGTTTTCGCTTAGGAGTCTTGTCACTTATATATATTTTTTATAATATATATATATATATATATATATATATATATTAGATATATATATATATTATTATATATTATATATCATGACTATATAGTTATACTATACTTTATATATTCTAATATATTATATATATATATATATATAATATATAATTATGATATATATATATTATGTATATATTATATATTTATATATATATATATTTATATTTTATATATATTATTAATCGCAATAAAACTGAAAATTACGAGAATTTTAATTACAAAAAATAGAAACCAGTAAATGCCAAAAATAGGCAATGATAGAAATATGTCATCACATAGAAATATATCATCACATAGAAATATATCATCACATAGAAATATGTCATCACATGAATTATATCAATAGAAATATCATCTACATAGAAATATGTCATCACATAGAAAATTCTCACATAGAAATATATTCATCACATAGAAATATATCATCACATAGAATATATCATCACATTAGAAATATCATCACATGAAATATATCATCACATAGAAATATGTCATCACATAGAAATATGTCATCACATAGAAATATGTCATCACATAGAAATATATCATCACATAGAAATTGTCATCACATAGAATTATGTTCATCACATAGAAATATGTCATACAATAGAAATATGTCATCACATAGAATAATGTCATCACATAGAAATATGTCATCACATAGAAATATTCATCACATAGAAATATGTCATCACATAGAATATGTCATCACATAGAAATATATCATCACATAGAAATATTCATCACATAGAAATATGTCATCACATAGAAATATGTCATCACATAGAAATATTCATCACATAGAAATATATCATCACAGAAATATGTCATCCATGAATATATCATCACATGAAATATATCATCACATAGAAATATGTCATCACATAGAAATATATCATCATCATAGAATATATCATCACATAGAAATATTCATCACATAGAATATATCATCACATAGAATATGTCATCACAGAAATATATCATCACATAGAAATATATCATCACATAGAAATATGTCATCACATAGAAATATATCATCACATAGAAATATATCATCACATAGAAATATATCATCACATAGAAATATATCATCACATAGAAATATATCATCACATAGAAATATATCATCACATAGAAATATATCATCACATAGAAATATATCATCACATAGAAAATATTCATCACATAGAAATATATCATCACATAGAAATATATCATCACTAGAAATATATCATCACAGAAATATATCATCACATAGAAATATTCATCACATAGAAATATGTCATCACATAGAAATATATCATCACATAGAAATATTCATCACATAGAAATATTCATCACATAGAAATATATCATCACATAGAAATATATTATCACATAGAAATATATCATCACATAGAAATATGTCATCACATAGAAATATATCATCACATAGAAATATATCATCACATAGAAATATGTCATCACATAGAAATATATCATCACATAGAAATATATCATCACATAGAAATATGTCATCACATAGAAATATATCATCACATAGAAATATTCATCACATAGAAATATGTCATCACATAGAAATATATCATCACATAGAAATATGTCATCACATAGAAATATGTCATCACATAGAAATATGTCATCACATAGAAATATGTCATCACATAGAAATATGTCATCACATAGAAATATGTCATCACATAGAAAAATCATTCACAAAAATAATCCATCACAAAAAAAATGGACCATTATACAGAAATGGGAAGTCACAGAAATAGGCCATAATAAAGAAATGGGTAATCACAGAAACAGGTCCACAGAACGGTCTGTGTCTCACCTTATTCCACCAACGTTAAGGATGATTCGGTTCTCTCCGTCCATAGTGTCAGCGTGAGTGTGTACCTGTCATCACGACTCCCTTGTGGTGTGTTTACCCTTCTGGTTCACCATCCTCCCTCACCAGCAAGATCACCACCGCCACCACCATCGTCTCCTTCACCATCTCCATCACCACCATAGCCACCACCTCCACCATAGCGCGCTCTCACTCCTATCGGCCATGCTGTGACAGAGAGAGAGAACAGTGAATGTGTTTAAAGGTGAATATTTATCATCCTGGAGTGCTTATATGTTAATATTTATCATCCTGGAGTGTTTAAAGGTGAATATTTATCATCCTGGAGTGTTTAAAGGTGAATATTTATCATCCTGGAGTGTTTAAAGGTTAATATTTATCATCCTGGAGTGTTTAAAGGTGAATATTTATCATCCTGGAGTGTTTAAAGGTTAATATTTATCATTCTGGAGTGTTTAAAGGTGAATATTTATCATCCTGGAGTGTTTAAAGGTTAATATTTATCATCCTGGAGTGTTTAAAGGTGAATATTTATCATCCTGGAGTGTTTAAAGGTTAATATTTATCATTCTGGAGTGTTTAAAGGTGAATATTTATCATCCTGGAGTGTTTAAAGGTTAATATTTATCATCCTGGAGTGTTTAAAGGTTAATATTTGTCATCCTGGAGTGTTTAAAGGTGAATATTTATCATCCTAAAGTGTTTAAAGGTTAATATTTGTCATTCTGGAGTGTTTAAAGGTGAATAATTATCATCCTAGAGTGTTTAAAGGTTAATATTTGTCATCCTAGAGTGTTTAAGGGTTAATATTTGTCATCCTGGAGTGTTTAAAGGTGAATATTTATCATCCTAAGTGTTTAAAGGTTAATATTTGTCATTCTGGAGTGTTTAAAGGAGAATATTTATCATCCTGGAATATTTAATGGTGAATATTTATCATCCTAGAGTGTTTGAAGGTTAATATTTATCATCCTAGAGTGTTTAAAGGTTAATATTTGTCATCCTGGAGTGTTTAAAGGTGAATATTTATCATCCTAAAGTGTTTAAAGGTTAATATTTGTCATTCTGGAGTGTTTAAAGGAGAATATTTATCATCCTGGAATATTTAATGGTGAATATTTATCATCCTAGAGTGTTTGAAGGTTAATATTTATCATCCTAGAGTGTTTAAAGGTTAATATTTGTCATCCTGGAGCGTTTAAAGGTGAATATTTATCATCCTGGAGTGTTTAAAGGTGAATATTTATCATCCTGGAATGTTTAATGGTGATATTTATCATCCTAGAGTGTTTAAAGGTTAATATTTATCATCCTAGAGTGTTTAAAGGTGAATATTTATCATCCTGGAGGTTTAAAGGTGAATATTTATTATTCTGGAGTGTAATGGTGAAAATTATCATCCTAGAGTGTTAAAGGTGAATATTTATCATTCTAGAGTGTTTAAAGGTGAATATTTATCATCCTGGTGTTTTAAAGGTGAATATTTATCATCCTGGAGTGTTTAAAGGTGAATATTTATCATCCTAAAGTGTTTAATGGTGAATATTTATCATCCTAGAGTGTTTAAAGGTGAATATCTATCATCCTAGGAGTTTAATAGTGAATATTTATCATCCTAGAGTGTTTAAAGGTGAATATTTATCATTCTAGAGTGTTTAAAGGTGAATATTTATCATCCTGGAGTTTTAAAGGTGAATTTTATCATCCTGAGTGTTTAAAGGTGAATATTTATCATCCTGGAGTGTTTAAAGGTGAATATTTATCATCCTAGAGTGTTTAATGGTGAATATTTATCATCCTAGAGTGTTTAAAGGTGAATATGGAGTGCGTACTGATGATTACGGATCTTACCTTGTGTGTGTATGTATAATGATTAATGTAGATCATCTTAAAATGTGTAATGATCAATATTGATAGTTCTAAAATACGTTCAGTGGCTGGAATACACACACACACACACACACACACACACACACACACACACACACACACACACACACACACACACACACACACACACACGACCTTTCAACACACCCTGTTCATCGTCTCAAGAGATGGGTAATTTCTCTCGAAATGGTTCCTGTGGGTATTGAGATGCCAAGCTACAAGACACACGGACACATAACACGGACACAAGGACACACAACAAGGACACAAGGACACATAACGGTGTTCTCTAATCTATTTCTCAAAAGAAAGCGACTTCATGTATTAATTGATAACTAAAGCTTTCTATTGCCCGATAAATGAGGCTATCTTTTTTATCGATTCATTAAGTTCACTGATACATGAAGCCTTCTATTGGTCGATAGATAAACCTTTCTATTCATTGATAGATAAAGACTTCTATCCACTGATATATAAGTCCTTGCATTTAATGGTAGATAATTCTTTCTATTCCCCGATAGATTACGTCTGCTATTCAATGAGAGACAAAGCCTTAAACAGAACATCGTTGTTGTTTTTGCATCAAAATTAATTGAGGAACCTCTCCAGGTTAGCATAAATGATATTAGCATTATTCAGCATTAATAACGAACGAATGTCGTGGCGTTCAGCGCGATTTTCGTGTCTGGCAACACGGTTCGTTGCTTATTAATCTAAGCCTGTGAAAAAGGCATGGCGTAATCTCTCTATTCTCCCAAATTTTAGCCTTATCTGCTCTGTTTTCTTAGCCACGGTAAAAAAAAAAAAATTATGAAGATGTCCCGGTAAGTTCTGGAGATTTGTCAAGTCACAGCTGAGGAGAGGAACGCGGAGAAGAACTGGAGACAACACGATAGGAGAGGTGGATGAAGGGGGTAATAGTAGAAGTAGTAAGAGTAGTAGCAGAGATAGTAGCAGCGATAGTAGCATCGTAGTAGCAGCGATAGTAGCAGCGATAGTAGCAGCGGTAGTAGCAGCGATAGTAGCAGTGGTAGTAGCAGCGATAGTAGCAGTGGTAGTAGCAGCGATAGTAGCAGCGGTAGTAGCAGTGGTAGTAGCAGCGATGGTAGCAGTGGTAGTAGCAGCGATAGTAGCAGCGGTAGTAGCAGTGGTAGTAGCAGCGATAGCAGCAGCGATAGTAGTATCGGTAGTAGCAGCGATAGTAGCAGCGATAGTATCAGCGATAGCAGCAGCGATAGTAGCATCGGTAGTAGCAGCGATAGTAGCAGCGATAGTAGCAGTGGTAGTAGCAGCGATAACAGCAGCGATAGTAGTATCGGTAGTAGCAGCGATAGTAGCAGCGATAGCAGCAGCGATAGTAGCATCGGTAGTAGCAGCGATAGTAGCAGCGACAGTAGCATCGGTAGTAGCAGCGATAGCAGCAGCGATAGTAGCATCGGTAGTAGCAGCGATAGTAGCAGCGATAATAGCATCGGTAGTAGCAGCGATAGCAGCAGCGATAGTAGTATCGGTAGTAGCAGCGGTAGTAGCAGCGGTAGTAGCAGCGATAGTAGCAGTGGTAGTAGCAGCGGTAGTAGCAGCTATAGTAGAAGTGGTAGTAGCAGCGATAGTAGCAGCGGTAGTTGCAGCGATAGTAGCAGCGATAGTAGCAGTGGTAGTAGCAACAATAGTAGCAGCGGTAGTTGCAGCGATAGCAGCAGCGGTAGTAGCAGCGATAGTAGCAGTGGTAGTAGCAGCGGTAGTAGCAGCGATAGTAGCAGCGGTAGTTGCAGCGATAGTAGCAGCGATAGTAGCAGTGGTAGTAGCAGCGATAGTAGCAGTGGTAGTAGCAGCGATAGCAGCAGCGGTAGTAGCAGCGATAGCAGCAGCGATAGCAGCAGCGGTAGTAGCAGCGATAGCAGCAGCAGGAACGAAGGAAGTGGAAGATAGCTTTAATATCTTGAAATAAGAGCCCTGAAATGTCGTCAAGACAGTCCCCCAGTGAGGTTCGAGTTGGTTCAAAAGCATTAAATTGGAATTTCTCTCCAGAACTTAAGAAAAAGATAACTTTCTTGGAATTACTCTCCAGAATTGAAGAAAAAAGATAACTTTCTTGGAATTACTCTCCAGAATTGAAGAAAAAGATAACTTTCTTGGAATTACTCTCCAGAACTGAAGAAAAAGATAACTTTCTTGGAATTACTCTCCAGAACTCAAGAAAAAATAACTTCTTGGAATTACACTTCAGAATTGAAGAAAATTATAACTTAATTTTGGAATTAGTGTCATCTGATGGTTAATAACCCATGATAACCCAGGATAACCCAGGATAACCCAGGATAACCCAGGATAACCCAGGATAACCCAGCAGTGTCTCTTATTTTCATCTGAACCTCTTGTTTGACCAATGATAGCTGACGAACACCCAGGTACCTACTTACTGCTGGGTCAACAGGGTAAACAGATTGGTAGGTGACTTGGAGTTGCACCTCAGCTCACCCTGAGGACTCTTCCCAGGTGCTGTAGATTGTGTGGTGACTGCTTACCACTGGGTATTTGGGTCAACCACTTGGTAAGTGGGTATAGGTGGTGGGTAGGTGGTAGGTGGGTGGCACTTCCAGTTCCCAGAGCTCTCAAAACCGAGTTGGGAAGCCAAAGTTCGTAAAGACTTTGAGAGGGAAATGAAATTACCAGCGGCGGCCCTGTTGGCACTGTGGTGCGGTTGTGGCGGCACTGTTGGCACTGTTGTGCAGTTGTGGAGGCACTGTTGGCACTGTTGCCACTGTGGTGCAGTTGTGGAGGCACTGTTGGCACTATTGTGCGGTTGTGGCAGAACTAGGGGCAGCGTTGTGCAGTTGTGGCGGCACTGGTGGATGGTACTGTTATGCGGTTTTGGCGGCACTGATAACATTATTGTCACTGCGGTGCAGTTGTGATGGCACTGTTAACACTGTTGTGCGGTTGTGGCGGCGCTGCTGGCACCAATGAGAAAGTGGTGTGATAGTTGCACTGGCCTTCCTGAGCACACCGGTTTGATATCTTGGCCAAGTCGCTCGCTAGCTCTTTCCAATATTATCATCAGTGTGAAGCGGTAAACCCGGCCATAAATAAACGCATGAACGTGCGTCAATGAACGTACTAAACCTACACGGGGAATTATGAACGTAATCGGGTACTGTTTTTTCAGTAGTTGATAGAAAAGCTTTCCAAGTGGACGAGCTTCATGGTAAACTGCCGGTTACAAATTATAACCAGCGCAATTTAATTTGCCTATTCCAACTAAATATATTTTAGATAAGTTTATTTTTTTTTTCGTTAGGTTCAGAAGGATTTTTGCG